TCGAAATTAGGAGATCGAGTATTTATGTTGTATTAATTCGTGAATATTTGAAGCTCATTAAAGGAGAAGGTAGACAAGGATCGGTTTTTAATTCTATCCCATTCCTTGGAAATGCAAGTAACCTTTAATGAAATGCCGCACATTATGGCTGATTTTCCATCCTTGATAATTATCTGCCAATCATCTCAAAGTTGTGGCTTTGGTCTCCTATACTACGTTGGCTTAATGGAAAATCTGGGAACCACTTTGGTGGAGAAAATTCAGCCAGACGCTTGAGGTCACTGATAGAAAATGAATAACAGACATTCACCATAAATCGGATTTAGGTTCATTCAAATTAGCGTTATCAGTTCACGCATGGGGAAACTACGGTGCCATTAGAGTTGCACTTAGAACTGCCGGAGCTCACAGTGAAAAGTGCATGTGATGTGTTCAAATACTACTACCGGAAATCCTGAATTCATTTTTAACTGATGATTTGTTCAGTAACATGATACTTTTAATGAACAGGTGGATTGCCAGATATGTGGCCGAGGAACCGCATTGGGGTCACATCACTCGCCAAAAGCACCTGCTGTTGATGCATAAGCTTAAAAAAGGGCAATTGTAAAGCAAATGAAAATTAACAGCAGTGGTAGGATTTGCATAAAGGCATTGTACGAAGGCAGTTTGTAGATAATGAAAGACTGCGTGGTGTTGATATGCATTCCAGCAGTTACCTAGTGTGGTTTCTATGACACGGAAGTCGAAAAATGCACAAACACATGAAAAGAAAAACCCCATTGGACGTGAGGCTCTCGAGAAAACGCGTTGAGTGTTTGGGCTAGGTTCTACCGCTCGGCGTCAGGTAAAAGGCGAATGAAAAAGCCGCCCAGGAGGCATGGTGAAAACTGTCAGCTATGCAATGGGACTAAAATTGTGCATATCTGGAAGGAGAACGAAAGAATGCAGTAGATAGTGACCGCAGAACAGATGACGACGCTAGAAAGCCGGTAAAAAAGCACAGGAACCAAGATGATAGAGGTAAGGAACAGTTCATGATCCCTTACTCAGAAGTTAGGGAAGCATGCTGCGGAAAAAATTTCCATTGAACAGCTATCGTTGAAAATGCCGTGTAGTTCTCTTAGGTAGAAGATATTTAAACTAAAATTGTTATAGCCTTTTGTTAAAGGTTTCATTTCTGCGTAGTGAAAGCAGTCTACTTGTTGTTGGAAACATACACACACAGAGGTTATTTTTCCGATGCCTCTTCAAAATAAACACTAAAAAGCGTAAATATAATTTCAACAACTGACGATTACCGCAAGAGGGCTAGGCAAATCAAATCAGATGAAAACTAATTACGTTTAGACAGGGTTTTGACGATTACTTGTGTGTGTGTGTGTACATGTAGTTATAATGATGCAGTAGTTGTGATTACTATATGCAAAATAACAGCGTTTAATTATGGTTTTCGGCAGAATTGCAAGCAATTTTCAGTGACTGATTTTAATCACAGTCTGCTGCATTTCAATCAACATTGCCAATTCAAAACTTCTACGGTGAACACTAATTATTGCCAAGATTACGTTTTATTGAGCAAGGGGAAGGTGTAGAGAAGCCTTTTACAATGCTGTTACTACCTCATCGTAGTATAAATTCATCAGATTGAGCATTACAACTGAGGCAATAATTTTCTGGCCTTTACTGCTCTCAATCACAGTTGTAATTTTGCTCACCCCACATAAACTATATTGACGAGGTGTTAGCTATAACATAATGCACCCTTTTTCGTCATAATTTGAGTCAGCCGACGCAAAAACGACGTAAGGAGACTGAGTACCCGATACCGAATTATAGCAGACCCTAGCTGTCTTAAAAAAGACCACCGTCAACTCAGCTACACAAAAACGATTGGGCGATTCAGCAGACTGCAGGAATCTACAACGCAATACCGCTTTTTGGTAAGGCTGTAAATGTGTTTGTCAATAAAGCACGGATTGTAATAGCGTCCAGTTGCTAAAGCTACCAAAGGATAAGTAGAGCATAAATTGCTGAATTTTCAAAATCGAGTTAAGGAGGCATTCGTACACAACTACAAAATAGTGTCCAACGCACAGACACTGTTAATTCGCAGATTGAATCAAAATTGACCCGGTCAGTTATTAAAACCTGACCTAAAACCCTAAATATGGTCTAAATTCGCACCAACGCTTGTAGATCGAATTTCTTAAGAATGTGCTCCAATTAGCAAAAAAGTAGACGATCGAACCTGTCGCCTGTGGTCTCGCCCGTAGTAGTAGTGCCAGACGCAATGCCTAAAAAGAATTACTCGTATTATTCTACTACTACAAACCTTCGTGAAACAAATTTTCCCATGAATATTTGAAAGCAGTGGTGATGCGTTCAAACTGGGGTCGAGTAAACAACTCGCATGGCAGGAGTGTAACTGATGTCAACGCGTCTGAAAACGCACGAAACGCGAAAATTTCATTGTTATGTTAGGGAGGCACGGCAATGCAAAAGGGTGTTTGTGTATAAGCTCAGAAACGTGAGAGCATTATTTGTAAAGTGTAATTAATTTGGTCGCTCAACCACGTTACTCCAGCGTTTTAGGCATCCATAAATTAACTATGTCATGGGATTGACCTCTTAACTCTCTTCGCATAACTCAAGTCCAGCAAACCTCCACATGTCGTCATCTGAACAAAAGCGCAAAATACTCAATTGAGGACTCAGGATCTGGACAAATGTAATCTTATCTAACCAATTCCATCACGGCTCTGCTTCTCCAACCCACCGCATTCATTTCAAGCCGTTTTGTGCAGCAAAAACCCCACCATTCTGATCAAAGTCTGCAAATATTTCACCCGTCTGCTGTGGGTGCAAGCCTCAACACACAATTCAGAGGTAACAATGTTTGGAGTGTAGGGGGAATTAACACCATTAGGCGTGTCTTCGATGGTGCACGTCCACGCAGTGAGATGGACTGGGAAAGTGAACAGCGTGTGTGTGTGTGTGTGTGTGCGGGTGTGTGCATGCGGAAAATTACACTGGGATGAGTGGAGTGGATGTCAAATGCACACATGTGGTTGTTCCCATGAATGCAGGAATCGTGCTTCATCCGAATTCTTTCCCACACAACATTCGCAGTAACCTTGAGCAAGTCGCTCGACTGTGCACTTGGTGGAGTCTTTCGTCGCATTATCATCAATTGGTCCAAATGTTTTTTAATGCACTGGCTGTTTGTTCGAGAGACGCCACACTTCCACATGTCCTACATCCGTCCATTAACGTCCACTACACAACTCGAAATCGGCTCCAACCAAGTCGGTCCTGATGTTTCGAAATGCCTTCCATTTCAATGGAGCCTCGTCCTGTTCATGCACACCCTTAGGAGGTGGGAATTGAGCCAGTGACACAAGCCTTCCTTTGATACAATGCACTCTCCCCAACTTTCTACAATTGAAGCGCCTTGCATGTTGGAGAATTAAAGTGACACACCGAATAGTTTGATGTCCCATTGGCATCAACGGCGGTGATGTTGACACGAGTTCCCTCGTCATTCGAGAACACCGGCTACCTGAATCCGCATCACTAACAGCATGATGCCACATTCGCCATCCGCCTGCATTATTCTGCTGCTTCACATTATACATCTCATCCCGCCTACACGTCGAAAATTGCTTGCTTGAAAAATGCCCCCCTGAGGCTGTTGGACACACTGCCTACGGGATTCAAGAATCACGAAACAGCCGGTACATTTGTCACTCTACAACGACGACTGGTCGCATATCATGTGATGCAGTCACACTACTCGTTGAGATGCCTACCATCAAGTGACCCATCGTCATGCGATTTGGATGGCAAAGTAGCATCGAGAGCACTGCGTGGTGGCCTGAGCGCGTCCAACTACAGCAGATGCGTCAGTCTAATTTAGATGGTCCATATCACTGCTGAAGCCATGCTGATCAAGGCAATAAACCAGAGCTCCTACAGATCACAATTAGAACAGCACCATAGTCACGGCGACCCAGTCATGTGGATTCACCTATGCTAGGCACACTTTTTACACAAGGTTATATCGCATATCTGACGGGAATATCGGATCAGTGTTATCTGAAGGCATAAATGACCTCGACCCGTGTAGACTGGACAAGCGCTTGATGAAATATCGAGAACATGATTACACTGACTTCGATTTAAAGGCAGAGTGCACTCCTAACTTCAAACTACCCTGTTCTAACTACGTTTATGAGTTACTATGAAGTGGGCTGCAGCCGTCTCACGTCAACGATGCTTCTAGCGTGCTATTCACCTGCATTACCTGAGGCTCGAACTAAATCTCAAAGTGTAGCAAGAATGCATTTGGGGCCCACATGTAGTAGAGCAGATGTTGAATCTACCTGCAATCACAGAAAAATAATAGTTGTAATAGTAATAATGAGAAACGGATAAGGGAACTGCAGAGCGGAAACAAAGCCCGTGGAGGCAATCTTTGCAGCAAGCCAGTGGCAAACAAGAGTCGGAGGGGGGTGGGTGGGGCAGAAGGATGCAGGGTCTGACAGCATGGCGGCACGCATACACGCATTCTAGTATGTACACATTCATTTGTTAGGAGTGCGAAGAGGACAACTCCATGAATTGAGTTAAATAGCTCGAGCGGGCGTGTTGCTGTGCTGGACCCGGGACGACGTTATAAAACCAAAATTCAGAGGGTTACTTGTTTAGTGTGTAGACCACGGTAAACCGAAGAAAGACTCAGAGACGGATAAATGACTCAGACGGTGGTTTGTTCGGGCGAGCACACTTTCTTCTTTGACGACTACTCTTGATGAGGCGCATACGGTAAGATGTAAGGATTTAGTGGGCGTTGGAACATTCCTCCATGCTTAAGTACAGCAAACACAGCAGAATGAGGAACAACGCAATGGAAAAGTTGGCTGTACGGAAGAAAAGAAGGGCTGTAAACATCACAAAGGGTGAAATAGAATAGGTGGAAATTGGGGGTGGTGATGCAGTTATGTAGACGATAGGGCAACGTCATTATTCTGGCTCCCGTTTTTCATGGATATGTTTTCTTCTGGGCCATGGCCATTGTGCTCATGACCACCATTGTCAAGGGACATGTCTGTGACTCCGTCAACGTCTCCGGGAGTATTCTGAGACGAAGACACTTGCTGCGTCTGCTGACGTTTTTTTCCAGCTAGGAGACCCTCCCAAACCGTCTTTGCCCCCAGGACCTGCATGGCATGTGCGAGAATATTCCTTTGGCTCTGTGAAAGACCAGCGGCTAACTGGAGGGCCTCTGGATCGTCGGGGGGCGGAGCAAGATCAAAAGGATCATAGCCACAATATCCGAGTCCACGCCGTTGCTCCCCATGGCATCGGAGAGCGTCAGATGATGAAGAAGTGGTACTTCGAGAACCTTCTGCGGAGAAGGCCTCCCCGCTACTGGCACCTTCAATGCGATCAAGACAATAGTGGCCCTTGCTACCCATTTCGCAGCCCCCACCAGCACTGTCAGGACTTGGCGGTCCATAATAGGCACCGTGGGGATAAAAGTTGGTGTTCTGGTCCGCATTTTGGGGATCGTAATTGCCGGGGCAAAATTGACCGGACTGCATGTGCTGAAAGTTGACAAAACGAATTTTATGAAGAGACGACCGGTTGAATCAGGCGAGTAAAACATGCAACACGAAACGACAGCGTGACGTACAGCATTATGTGCAAACTTTAGATAGTCAGCAAACTTACAGCAGTGTGACATGGCGCACGCAACACAGGATAACAATGTTGAATAAACAAAACCAATTAATGATCAACCAATTAGGCGTCAGCTCAGCGACAGGATTTTGTATTGAGTCGATTTTATGGGGAACTAAGCTGTTTTTTTTAAACAGGAAAGAAATCTTAGCCCACATGTGAAGGCCTTGTGAAATGTGTAGATACGGAAATACAAAATGGACCACAGTACGGACATGTCGACAGGGACTTGACAACGGCAGATTTAGTGCTCTCGTCTTGTGTGCGAGGGAAGGTGACTAACTTCAACACAGGAAACCAGAATTCATTAAATAACAACCCACGTAACTTGAGGCACAACAAAGTAACCTGCAACCAACTTTTTACGGCAAAAAATCACTAGATAATAGACCAAACAGCACAAAATCGTCTAGTTAGGTGGTAAATGGGGAAGAATGACGTGAGAATAAGATTGGCAAATGTATTTTAGGGGCCTCTAGGTCTGCCCCGGAAAAAACTGTAGAGCACGAAAAACGACATGCTTTGTGCAAAGCAAATCGGGTTTTCGCGTGGAATACGCACGCCCGCGCATACATGTGGGCTACGTACGTGGGCTCCACTGACCGCACAGCTAACACGCCCAGAAACCGATTTCGTGCCTTCAAAGTGCACTACCGTTATATTTGACCGAGGTAGTTGCAGCGACAATAAATACACGTGAATCTATTTCACGTGCCCCACGTTATTACAAGGTTTCGTTGATGGCTTGCGTGTTAACACAGCCTCTAAATGCGCGATGAGACTTGCGAATGGCGTTGAATCACATTCGTTAATCCTGTCGCACCATTCTCCGACACAGTGTGTCCCTTTTCACAGCATGCTATCAGTCGATTAGAACATCAACTCACACCTAGTTAGTGCGAAAGACTATCCTGGATCATCACTGCGTGTGATAACACTCACCTAGGTATCGATATTAGCAGATTTGTGACTCGCTATAAATACACAGGATCATCAACGACTACCTCGCTCTGTGTTCACAATGAAGACCAGTAAAATACGCGCAAATGCGAATGAACACGTTAAATTAGAATGAGACCAGCACAAGCGCCAATGAATTGCGTAATTTGCTTGGTGCGACTTAATACACCAACTCTGAGGTAATAGATAAGGATAAGAGATTAGAGCAGCGAATGTAAGGTTTCGGCATCACACCTATCGAAGCACAACATAAAATGAGGTACACGCATGCATCCGGCGAGATTGACATGCGCGAGCTGGCGTCTATCCTACGACGCTGGACCACACGAAATAAGCCTACTTGCACTAATTCTGTCTTCACAGTTGCCTCAAAGAACTCCCCTTCCTCCGACTCGGGAGTATAGTAACAGTACGGCTGATATCTAGGATGCGACGAAGACGCATAATGGGATGCTGAGTGTGAAAAATAGGAGAACTCGCCCACCTGAGGCGGTGCAGCCATGTGAACTCCAGAGAGCAATCTGTCATCAATAAGGCGTTGATCGACTTCTAGTTCGCCGTCTGCTGAACTGTGCAGAGCAGCGGATGGCCTTTGTAGGAGGAGATCGGTGTCGGTGGGTGGCACTTGGTGACAGGGATGCCGAAAAAAAGGGCCCTCGAGAAAGTCAGCAGGCGCCCCTGTTATCCAGGGGTGTTGGAGACATTCCCATGCCGTAGCCCGTTGGTTAGGATCGTAGGCGAGCATGGGTTCAAGGAAGCTGGTGAAGAGTTTGGCATCGCGCAGCTCCCAATCGTACTTCTGGACCAAAACACTAAGGAGATCCCAGGGTTTCAAAACACGTATGTGGCGGAGACAAGCTAAAGGCAAATGGAGACCATGAAAGCGCATGGAAGAACACGATATGAAAGTCGAATTTTATGATGGGCCGATGCCTAATTGCAAATACGCATTTAAGACATTTCCTTGGAAATATAACCTGCTTAATGACACATAATGGCTTGGCGAACAACAAACTACAACACTTGAAATTGTGCTAAGGGAAATCAAGGGGTTTTACAACGATTTGCACTCGAAATTGGTGAAAAAAGTAATTCAAGGTAATAAAATAGATGCTTCTAGTAATAACTACGAAAACCATGCGATAATAATTACTTGTCTATTTATTACTGGATGAATCGGACTGGGTAAAATGTGATCGGATACATTAAGCAAATTACCAGCTTAAGCCTGAATTAAAACAATAACAGAAATTTCAAACCAAGAGGACCAATAAAGGAATTATGTGGCCATGGGTAATTTATTAAGTGTGATGAATCGAGTTACAGATGCCGAATGCTAGTAAGTCGGAGGCAAAAACCATCGATGACTAGTGGTGCATGCGTAAAGCAACCACCACAAGTGACTAATACGCGCACATTACAACACCCCCTAGGCCAACTCCTACGCACACACACAGGTGAGGGTGGCAGATAAATATAAAGGCATACCTCGTTTGTCGAAGAATTCTCGCGAGTACTTCCCGGAGGCGACAATATTGCGGGGAATGGGGCCAAGAAGTTCAATGATATGTGCAAGATGATCTTCGTCACGCGAATACTCATCTCCAGTGTGAGGGTCAAACAAGTAATCCCCCGTTGCCAATTCAAAAGCCTGGGGAGGAGTGGATAATGGTGACTTAGCTAAGATATTTGTTGAAAGTCAATGCATAACCATTGAAAAAAAGAATCAGATTTCTGACCGATTCGCTAGTTGTAACAATAACAGCGTTAATGAGAGTCTGCAGACACAAGGGTCCGAAGTAAAACCTGAAGAGCAGTGACAACACGCCACACTCCCACGCTTGAACACTGCTAAATCGAAATAGAAAAGGAGCTTGTGCGCGGGCGTAAGACATATGTCAGGATTAGGGCTTTAAGACACTGGGATTGCGTACTTATACAAACAATTCCGGGGACAAATTGACATGATAGCGGTAACAACAACGGTGTTACTTAACGCTTAGTAGACCAACGCATTGGAAAGTCGGCAGACCAGGAAGTTTGCATAGATAAGCCTTCAGTGAACAACAATCAATAACGCGAGGTCGGCTATAGTAGCTGCTGAACCCGCCGACAGTTTGAAACTGTCGAGCGATCAAACACAATCTGAAACATCCCTAATCTGCTGCGGATACCTTCACATGCGCATTACAACACGCAATACTCGGGTTCCGGTAAGTTCAATAGTTGTGTGGCTCTTAATGAAGCAAGACGCCCAGATCTTGAGATAAAACAGACAGGTGCATGGAAAGTAAACCACAAGATTTGAACTACTGATGTGAAGTACTTAGGAGTAAACGAGGCAAACACCTAACAAAAAACTTGGTAGGATTGGTGAAACTCGATGAAGATGAGTTGACTAGGAGGGACTTGGAAAATAGTCAAGAAGTTGTCATTAAACTCGATTAACCTGAGATTTTGAGGCAGTTTTTGAAATCCGAATAGCACAACCTTAGAACTTGGGCAGAATGTCGTCTAACTTAGCTCCCTAGAGAAAATCGAGGGCAGTAGGATATTACAAGCACCAAACCCATGTCGTGTTAAGCAAACTGCTACAAAAAAAACAACTTAGAGGAAGTCGGTGTGAGACGCTAGACGGTGTGAAAAATCACCGACGCACTTGAAAACATTTGCACTTATTTGATGTAGACAGTTTGAGGGTATCACTGCGGCTGTTGGATTAAGTTACAGTGTAATTTTCCGAGAATTTCACACAAACCCTTCCTAACTGCACCAACCTAGATTCCCTAAAGTTGCTGCATGAGTCAAAATATGCAAGCAAGTGCTATCCGATCAGAAATCGTAAATCAAGGCGGGTAACATTGAACACGGAAGTTAGTGCAAGACCATTATCAAAGAGCAAATACAGCTGTGAAATCATCCTGAGTAGATATTCGCAATAAACAAGATGCACAAGGCTTACTGTGCACGCGGTGCTCCAGATATCAGCCGGGGTGCTGTACCCTGCCCCAATAAGGACCTCCAGGGCTCGGTACTGACGGGTCTGAATGTCCTCTGTGAATTTCTTGTAAGTCCAACAGGCATTTCCTAGATCGGCAATTTTTACGTCTATGTCGCAGACCTCCTTGCTGGCATCAGGCTCCACGAATATGGGCTCCAAGAGGAGGGAACGGCGTTTATCGACCAGTCCGGTCCCATTTGCTGTCACCGGGCGGACAAACATGCTGGCACGTTTGGTCAGAACAGCGTCGCTTGACGTAACCTTGAGGGACCCCATTTTCGGACGAATGGCGGGGGTGGTGGGTGAAGTTACGTCCGGCAAGACATCTTCAGATAGAGTCGTTTTCGGGTTGCAGGACTTGGGTGAAGAATCACTCGATGATTCCTAAAGGGAGCAACAACCTACGCTCAGACGTGCTCATTAGGCCTGGATCCGAGCGACAGTGCCGAATATACTGCAACAATTGAGGGTTTGATTACCTTGGCAAGACCAGGTTCTATTAAACTGGAATCTGATTAGAGGGAAAAGGACAGGACTCTTCTGATGCTTTTAACAGTATCCAAAGGAAGACTTGTAACTGTGTTTAGCTTCATGCTAGACGTCTCGTAGACACTATGTTTGTTCAACAGCCCTTTACCGGTGAAATATACTGGCCGACTCTTATAAAATTGCTGACTCATAACGGTTAAAGCCACAAACAAGATGTTCAAGAGTTCTTAAGTCATCGCAGTCATCAGTAACAGCGGCTGAGCAATGAGTTGGATTGATTAAAAAGAACCACACCTAGTTAAATGCTCGAGATTAAGAACCGATTAAATGCAATAGTAAACTGAATAGTGACGTACATTTCCGGAGGTATGGACATTTTCGGTTCCTGGTTTGACTTCGTGGCTGTTCAGTGCATCGCTTGTAATATCTACCGCCGGAAAAAGACAATTGTAAGAACTGGGGCGCCATTTACACAGGTACTTTAACACAGCCCTAAAAAAACATTTTGTATTCTTCTGAATCATGTTGTTACCACAGTTCCATGCGTTCTCTTCACTTATGATATGGCGAAATTATTTAAATTTGATGCGAAACAGTTATTTGTTTCCATATCCTCTGTCAAAAATGACTTAGCATGGATGTAATGTACCTATCCGTCAACAAGATGAATCATTTAAAAGCACTTTACGATTCTACCACAAAGAGCATAGCATGGCTTTAAAGCTAGAATTCTAAAGACAGTTTACGCACAATTTTGAGCACCCATCAGCAGTCAAGGTCACAGTTATGGCGGACAACGTACAACATCGATAAAAAGGATGATTAATTGTAAGTTTGGTTAAGGACTAACAAGTTTCGGTTTTGCGCTTTCACAACAACCCGAGGTAACCAAAATTGGCGTTCCTTCATGACAAATGATCGGTTAAAAGATTGTTTAAAGACCACAATAAAGGTTAAGTGACGCATAGGGATTAAGCAAATTAGGGTAATATGTAGTGAAAATGCACTAGCAAAGCGGTGCAAACAAAATGGTAGCTGTCAAATTGATCGCACCCACACGCACACTGCAGTGATTTTCTGCGCTTGATGCCTCTCCCTCTACACACATCAATCTAAATAAAGTGACAGCCAACCCGCGAACACAAACTGCTGTGATTAGACAGTGTGGATCAGCAGGAAAACAATCGCCCCATTGTTTTGCAAAAGTGACAACAGGACTTAAACCAGTGAATTATAAATAAAGCCATCAAGCCACAGCGATGGCGCTATGAAAGTTCTTTAGATTTAGGACACACATTGCTGACATAGAGAGGAGAAAGTGAATTTAGGTTCAAGGGAGGGAGAGAGAAGACAAAACAACTCGAGAATTAGTTCCATAGGAATCAATATGGACATACGAATGGTGTAGGGTAGCAGTAGTAAACACACGTTTAAAATGTGCTCGTCTTTATTCACCGAACTCTAGCACCCACAGTCTAGAAATAAAAATGTGCTAGGAAATCACCACTTGGGGTGATGCCCTGCACTTAAGGTTATCCGTGTACAAAACTGAGGTTTACTAGAGGAAGAAAGTAAGGTGTCTGGGGCGAGTAAACAAGAACAAGTGGGAGGCGGGCGGACGTGGATCAAACGAAAAAATCGACACAGAGACAAAGATACCCACGTACTGTGAGGTGGTAGATCACTTATTGGCTGTGATTTAAAGGCTGAACCTGAGAAGGTGAGTGTGAATCATCGGCTTAGGGAGTGTGCAACAGGCAGAGTAGCATGTCGGATAATTGACCTGGTTTCGTCATCAGGTCTCACAACACTATTGACATTTGAGTGTAACATATTAGTCTTCTGCCGGTTGCTTTCGGGACCACGGAAAGGTGGGTCAGTGACTATTTCACAGTGTCTGGGTCCGGAAAACAGAGTTGACGGGGACGCGGTAACCCCATCAGGGGATGGTAAAAAACCAGCATCTCTCTTAGGCACAGAGGCAACCAGACTGGAGACTACGCCAACTATCGGAAAACGGGGAGCAAAACGTTGGCCCTAACAAAATCGATGTGATGTGGACACTCGGCGACGATCCGACAAAACTTGTTCATTGAGGCCGAAAGTAAGGAGTAGAGCTTTCGCAACACCAAATGATGCGTCTCATTAGACACAGAAACTTCTGACAACTCGTACCATGTTAGTGATTAAGCTAACGAAACCTACTTGGAGGAGGCACGGAGGCCGCTGTTTCGACTTTATCGATGGATGCAGTCTCGTCACGTCGCTCTCGAGACTTTATCGAGCCATCGTCGATGTCCCCTTCGGCAGGGGGATGCAAGAGACCCAGTTCCCTTAGACGTTGTTCTTGTTCACGACACTCAATTTCCTCCAATTCCTCGAACTCCTGTTCTAAAAGTGCCTGTTGCCTTTTCTGCTGCTTTTTCATGCGCCGTTTCTGGCCCTTACTTAGCTTGCCAACACTTTTTACCTCCTTGGGCGCTGTACTTACTAAAAAGATACATTGGTTCTAGTCAGGTTGATAGAGAGGCGCAAAAATGACCATAAATATGCTTGACGGATGAAACAATAGATTAAACGGCACAATATGCGCGCATAATAAACCACTACATTCTAAATTTGCAAATTATTTTGGATCACGTGTGTAAATGCACCTGTGGTTTGTTTCGCAAAATAATCACACAGGACATTAAAAATGTTTAAGATGCTTCAACTAGGGGTCTTCACGAGCAATAATATTTGCGTAGGCAGTAACACACTTCCGTGGTTGGTTTAAAACGTAAACCCGAAAATACAGGCAATGGGAATGGACATTAAGACAAAATCGTACCGGCTGAAACAGGAAGCTTAACCCCTCGACGTTGAGCATCGATGGACCCGGCAGCGAGGCGGCGAACAGCAGAATCCGAAATAGCCACCAAAATATTTTCAGGCTTAATATCAGTGTGAATAATTTGGCACTTCTCATGAAGGTAGTGGAGACCTTCGAGAGTCTAAAAGACAACACCACAATAAAATAAGAACAATCGAAGATTCGACGTTGAACTGTTTAAAACCGTACCTGTCTGATTATAGTGCGCACGTTCTCAATTGGAATTCCACGATACCCTGATCGGATTATTAGTTTTAGGAGATTGTGTCCCAGAACCTCAAACACCATGCAAACATCTAACGAGGGAGTTAAGGAACATACTTTTTACACAATACAGTAAATTAGAATGCAGATTATTTTAAAAGGATACGAATTCCGTTGACCCCTGAGACTTTGAAATCGTCAAGCAATTGAACTGTCTTGTTCCGAAAAGGGTGATTTGCATCAGCCTCGCGAACGCAGGTCAGGAGTTTGATCTCATCAAGAGCTGTTTCCGTGTAGTGAGTGGCACTTTTAACCACCTTCATGGCAACAAACCGTTTGGTACTAAGGAGAAAATCAAGTAAAATACTATAAAAGCTCGTACTTGAGGTCCCAGCAAAGCCAGACAGTGGAGAAGTGACCCCAACCGAGCTTCCGAACGACGTGATAACGACCGTTATACATTTGACCAATCTTCACTGGGTGATAACCTCCCTTGGTATAATCTTGTGGATCTTCCTGCTCATCGTCATCACTCCCAAGAACAGCTTCCTCTTCGGGAATATCCTCAACATCATCATCATCATACTGACGCTTTGGACAGGGTTCCGCGAGTTCTGGTTCTGTTGTTAGAGGAGGAGCCTGTTCCACATCTCCATTGCTGAATAGATGAAAATATTTCAACACGATTTGATTGATTTAACAAGAGTACGAGTACTTCATTAATTCTATGGCTGCCAACGTAAATAATGTGAACAAGTAAAAGTTAGTTACAATCCCACAAATTAGTCAGAAGACAACTGAGCTTCCCCTAACGAGGGAATGGGTTATTAGTGTACCTGGACCAACAAATAAGAGTAAACTATGGATGGAGCAATAACAGCGCTGAGGAAAAGAGAGACAGGGTGGGCAACATAAAATAAATATTGGTATGGAAGTTGCATAAATACCTGAAAAATTAATTCGGCCATTAGAGTGTACAGTAAAAAACAGAACGAATACTGGGTTAGTGTGACTTAGTCAGATACTAAAAGAAAAATTAATCCGGCACCCGGGTAACGAAAAACAGTTGTCTCATTGGGCATCAGTAGTTAGCACGCGACCACAAACTTCAGAAAGAATGAAAAAACATAAAGTGGGAAGTGTACAAAAATCAAAATTGCACGAAAGAGGATGTACGTCAACTTGCCATTGTTTCTCAGTAGGCTTCATTGGCTTAAGTTTATCCTTGTTCTTTTTCTTATTTGGCATCGCGCTCCAGTAAAAGCACAAGATTCCAATCAGAGCCTCAAAACGCAGAGAGAAATTTAAAATTCAAAAACTGGTCTTTTTACTCCGAGGCAGGCAAACACTTCATGCCAATGAAAAAAAACAACAGACCGCAATATACAAATCAACCAAAGAAGCACTCAACGGGATTAAAACAAAATCCAATCAAATCACGTTCAAAATACTCCCAAAAAGTATTAGGATTCAATATCATAAAATCTAGGTAAAAATTTAATGACTTATTATAGCGAAATGGTTTTTTTGATCTAAAAGCAGGTTAGGAATACTTGCTAATACTCTCAAAACCTGTTTTCTAGTCGGGTGCCAAAAAACAATTTCAGGTGACCAGAACGCAAACCTACCCTTGTTTAACTAATGAAAACATAGGTTTCAGTTTGTCGTTATATAACTTTCTAGATTTGTCAATGTAACTGCTTAAATTAATGTTTCGATTTTTACCCCGACCCAACGTATTTGTTATATATGTATATTATCTTCTGCTTAATTATTGATTTATGTAGGTATTTTGCCTGTCATTTGAAATCATCAGTAAGACCTGCGTAAATATAAATTTAAACTTATGTAAATCGAGCCAATCTATGAGGCCCCCAGATACAGCCTGCATATATGGAAAGCTCGTGCAAACATTTTTGTTCTTTTAGGTGATTCCATGATATTTAGGGCCATTAAAGGTGAACTATTACACAATGTGATGAAACCTTTCAGCAATTTATCTGGACGGACTACATTTTATTATGTCTACCCACATTCCGACACTGTGCATTCAAATAGGCATTCCTCCTTACTAGAGATAGGAGGTAACGACTGGTTAAATCCCTGGCCAATTGGATTTCACTAAAATATATATGGAAAACACGCGCTTTCATAGGAATAATTCTAAGTAAATATAAGTTTGAGATTTAGTCATCGCTCTTGTACTAATTTTAGATTATTCCTCGTTTGTGAAATACTGTTACGACATGGTTCTGACGAGCAGTTACCTTGAACATCTGTACGACTTCGTCACCCAATAATATTATGTATATTGAGCGTACGTTGCCAAAACTTCAACGATTCACTCAGCTAAATAGCACGAATTATCATCCATTTCTGGACTTATTTTACACAAGAATACTCTTAATGTATAATAAATTCGACTAGTAAAATCCGGTTCGTCTATTAGCCTTAATTTTGACGCATTTCCTCTACTCCAGATAATAAAGACAAGATTAGGACGAAGATTTCTGGTTAATTTTGTTTGCATTTCAATTAGCTTACTAAATACATTATATTTGATCGATCCATTCTATCAAACGTAAATTCCAACTGAGTCTTTAAATGAACCCTGACAACTATGACGATGGAAATTAGAAAGAGGAGTTTGCTTCCTCGTCCTGTCCACAGTTGTAGGCCTATCAGCTATCTTTTAATTTATAATTTGTCTAAACTGAACTTAATTAACTGGAAGCATTACCACCGAAGGATTTACTCGAAACTGTTACATTGGATGTGTTACGCTAATTTACAATGATATAAGTGCAACTGCTGACTGTAACCATATTCCAGTTATTAGCTTTTATCTTAAAAGGCTCAGGTAATAATTATGTAACATTTGACACACTATTGCCTTATATTTTTATTCAGTGAACTAGTTTCTTTGAAACACTGTTTAAATCCTTCATTTTCCCTCAGGTTTGTCAATTTAAAGCTAAACATTTGCTGCTTACACTACTTAGCGTCCTAACACTTACTGTTTAGTATATGATTAACAAAATTTTTAGATTCTGGGGTTTTTATTGTTGTTTGTTGATTCCAACAGTTCTGTCTGTTTATATTTAAGCTCCTGTCATTTGCAAAGTTGTCTGCTATATAGTTGATGATGATGAAATCGTCACCTCTATTTTGCCAAAGAGTTAATTTTTTTGACGACACTTTCTGAACTTAGAGATGGCCATGTCACGTTTGTAAGAATTTTAAAAACACCTTGATTTCAAAACATTGCTTTAATGATGGTTCAAAAATGAAGCATGGTGTGAAATATCGTTAGTTCATGTTGCCGATAATCTAGTAAAATTGCAAACGATTAAGAATAGGAAAATCACCGGCATTTTTTGGGCAATTTCATTCCACTCTTGAGTGTGAAAAGTAAGAGAACAAAGTTCTTAACGTACTTGATGCAGTTTTTCGAAAAGAAGGAACAGGAGACTGTGATGCACTGCATTAATTTCAATGTTGAAACAGGTTACAAAGTAAGGATGTAAACTTTGCAAAACAAATTTAGTTCAAATATAGCGATTCTCGAAGCCATTTTAGATCAAATGCTTGGTGCATCGCTACTAAAATTCGAAGAAATTTTAAGCTTGGTGAAGTTAAGCCATTGAATCCAAGCCAGCATGGCTATTCTAACCTATTCGCATTATCCTTTTAAACAAAAATTTTTTTGAAATGCCAAGGCATTCGTGCAGAAATTACAAATTTCACTACGTATCAAGTGTACCATGGTAGCTAAAACAATACAGAGACAAAAAGAAGAATTTCGCTTTGATGATTTATTAAGCCTAGTAAAAAAACATGCTAACATTGCCAGTTTCAGGCTTTTTGAAACAGTTATTAGGCATTAAACGCAGGTAATGTACATAAACTTGATCATCCTGTTTGCCTTACTGATCCGTCTTTCGAGACAAATCCCTGTAATGACTGACGCATATTTTTCCCTTTATTATAACTTAAAAGTGTTCTTCCGTATTTCAGGAATTAAATATTTGTCAACGCTGTTTGAAAACTGATCATACCTCTTATGACTACCAATCGCAACGCAGGTGTGCCATTTATGGACACAGACGACCTATTAATAATTTGATATATTCCACGGTTCGTGATTACACATTCTAAATAGAAATTATAAATAATCGAGAGGATGAACCGAATTTGTCCCATCATCCAAATCCAATTGCAGAGGGTATTAAAATAAATAAAGCCCGTTTATGATTTCTGACCAACGTACATGTCCATTTTAGTCTAGCAATGTAAAGAATCGGTTGAGAAAAATTCGGTTCGTTTTTGCTAGTGTGAACGCGATTTTACCATTGTGAAGAAAGAATTAAAGGGGTCGGTTCAGCAAGATCAGGCGATTTGGATTCCTAGAACGGTGGGACAAGTCATTCTTGACAAAATCCAGCTAGAACAACGAGGCGATCACAAGCCATTAGCAGAATATGAAGATCATGCGGGCTGCAGTACAATGAAGGAAATTCCCTAAAATGTTATGTTAAAAAGGACGGTGGTTACGGACAGAATTTGCATAAGGACGATACTGTCTTTCTGGTAAGAAGAAGATTTGAACATTTTAAGTTGCCTTAACTTCTAGAAACTTTAACATCAACAACTCCGAGTGACAAACCGCATGCCAAGCCGCATCTTAAGACTTTCGCTAAATGCCTGCAACACACGGATAAAGTTTGCTCGGAAAAGTGGTTCGCCGAAAAGACCTGAAGAGGTAACTCAGGATATATCTGGAATATTTACAATATCTCTGTCCTCCACACTTCCAAACCAGACGGAATTATTAATGCTTAAATGGTTATTTGGTGCAAGATCAACAAATGAAGTTGTAAAAAGACACGTTTGCAGGAAGAAAATGTTGTGAATCGTGTTTATTCAAACCCTCAATCCGGTCGCTCCATCTCCGACACAGAGTTTTTCTTTTCGCAGCATGTTGCCAGTCGCGCGGATCCTCAACTCCCCCCTCATACGAATAATTACCTTGGATTATCCTCACACCTAGGTCTCGATGTTAGCGCATGTATGACTTACACATCCGAGGTATAAATACACAGGTGCAAATCCCACACGCGACACAACGACACCAACGAGGTTAAGCTATGGAGTAAACGGTTGTGTCCACGTCCTCTCCGACCTTTTTCTTTATCGTTGGCAGTAGAAAATTTAATAGGGCCAGGGTTAATTCCGTGACCCCGGTGTGGTTCAAAACCACATGCTGGGGCCCACAACAGCCTAAAAACACAAGAAGTTAAGTTCCTGTTTCAGATGCCTATTTTGTTTAAATCCTCAGGTTTTGGACTACATTATTTTCGTTTATCTGATGCAATATAGGAAACACAAATCAACATTATTGATCGAGGAGTGATATTCTTTGCACGTTGAAGCCTCAATATCACCAAAATGCAGCAGTTGTGTTCCCGTTATATTAGGGCTCACAGAACTCTTAATGAATTTAATAGAACTACAATTATCGTTGACTGCAGGGTTGATTTTGTCAAGATATTGTGCTACTTATCTTAAAATGTATATAGTAGCTGTTCATTTTCAGTCTCACATACCTAACCGTCGCAGAATTACAACAATATAATTTTTTTCAATCCTGAAAAGGAATTCCAGCCGCACCTTACACGACATATTATTTCTAAATTATTTGCTCATTTTGATTGAATGTTTGCAATTCCTGTAAATTACCTTTTTGACTAACCGCTGAATATTTTGTTAGTTGGATGAGAAGTATAAATCATGATTACAGTTAACCTGTTAAACGTCGTTGCAAACACTCCCTCCAATAGACCTACTTTTCAATTTATCAGGGAACTTGCCGTCATGGTGTTCGCCCCTTCCAGCATGAACAGTTAGTTTTTAACGACATAAAATTTTCCCTTACAGAGAGATCTCAGGTCAATTTAGCAAATAATTGTTGTATTTAACAAGGAACGCAAAATAACGTCATATATGAAAAACACTTGGAATGAAGTAGGAGCTCATTAAACACTGTCTACAGGGTAAAAAGTTTCGAATATTTTAAGTTAAGAACTAAAACAGTAAAATGACGAGGTTGACATCAGTCACATTGTAAAATATAATGTTTTCGATTTCTGACTGATCATATTTCCAGTTGAAGTGAATCAGGCAATTTCCTGGCGAGTTTTCCTTGATGTACTTGTTGCCGGGAAACCGAATTAAAAAAAAATATACTACACTATTGTTATTGTATATTGGATTGTTACCGATGAAGGATTTGATGAATGTCCGAGTGTAAAATGAATGATTAATTTCTCGAACGAAAGTAAAAATATTTGTGCATAAAATTTTATAAACAGCATCCCACATTGTCAGTACATCCCCTATCCGTCTTTGAAACAATATTTATTTTTTGATTGCTTAGTAAATGCACAAGTATGAATTATAATTCCAACAAAATCAAATAATTTTCCAGTTAAAATAATTTGAGTTGATTAATATTTTATCTGTGTAAATGCGTTATTTTTAAACATAATAAAATAAGCACTTTTAAAAGTTATAGCAATAAATTTTTTCTTACCTAACTAATCTGCATATAGATTGTCACCTAAGTGTTATAACGATGCAATATCTAGGCAACAGCCTTTGATTTTTTTCAATTTTTGTGTGTGAATTGAAGGGGATCGGTTGGACTCTTTTTGTCCTTTGTGATTTTTTTGGTAATTGTTGTCTACTTTACCTGCCCAGTAGCTTTTTCACTTCTTTCTTATTTAAAAACTAATGCGTTTCACTCTTGTCCGACTACACTGCATCAATGCGCTATTTATAAAAGAAGGCGAAATTATGTCGCTTTCACGCATTAAAGGTCCAGCTTTTTGCGCAAGCCGTAGCCGTGCGTTTGTGCAAAGGTAGTATAAAAATACTGTAGTGCAAATAGTTTTTGATATATTATCTTTGTTTTGATAATTTTCCTTTGAAATCGGTATCTAAGTTATCTACCAGTAGAAACATTATTCACCTGATTGATTCATTGATTGGAGGCTTTACACATAGGCCTTATAAGTGTTGCTCGAGTTTTCTCTGTGAGGGCTAAATTATCCCACAAATGAATCATTCTTACATCTTCACACATAGGACACTCTTTACTTTTACTGGGATATGATCTCGGAATCAATCATTCTTGAATTCTTAACATTTTCTAGTCTATGCAATCTTGTCTTTTCTTTATGATAATCTTTTTTAATTTTTATTTATTGAAACACACCTGTAAATGGAATTATGATTGCACATCTTTTGTTCGCAAATGCTTGGTAAGCTTCTGTGGATGCGTTTTTGCATTTGTAAGGTTTGTATTTGAACATATTTGAAAAAACAACGGCTTTTTACACGGGCTTTTTTTCTTTCTTCTAAATTTGCTGTCAAGAAGCAAACAAAATAGTGCAAATGGATTTTTAATAAAGTAATTTGGTGCAGTAAGGCTTAGCATTAATTTCCGTCCAACATATTCAAAAGTGATCATTTTATTCTCATAAGCGTGAATGTAACAGAGCTTAAACTCCTTTCTCATCGTCTCTAGGCTTCTGGTACGTCAAATAACCCTCCTATTCAAATCCACAACAACCAAATCGATGCATTAATTACTGTCATTAGTAACTGACAAAAGGTTGTGTTGTTTTGGAGGACCTGTGGTCAGGCCTAATTACCGCCTACGTTCAGCATCATAATTGGAAACTTATTTCCTACTGCTACCATTTTTGATTCTAGATTGCTTGCACGAATATACCCGGTGTTTTCATGTATGTGAAAGTTGTGTGGAAAGCCATGAGACCCATGAACACTTACAACTTACTTGTAGTGGCTGCAAATGATGCTTCTGGTATATTTGGTTTCAAAAATTTTCACTACCACCAAAAAAACTTGGTTTCTACCAGGTTTTAATTCGTATCACTTAGATTTTACACTTTTTAGACAATGGACAAGCCTCAAATTATTGGCCACCTTCACAAATCACTAAATTACACTCTCTTTGATTGCAAATGGCTCCCGGTCAGCACTAAATTCGTCGTTGTTGGCTCAAATCCACGAGATACAGGTCAACTTCAAGTCTACGATGTTACTGCAACGGACCTAAAACTTGTCTACGAGGTTTGTGTTTTTGCTTTACATACGCTACTCAAACGACATAAGCATGCAATCTTTGCACCTAGGTTGAAAAATCCAAGTCCTACAAGTGCTGCACGTTCGGTGCCTCTCGTCTTCCGAGTGCCCATTTGGCCACGGGTGCTTTTGACGGTCGAATGGCCATATGGGACCTCGATGATGGTGGCCGGCTGGATGCTCCTCTATACGCCGTTAAAGCTCATGACGAGATAATTAACACCATTGATGGAGTGGGCGGTTTAGGTGTTGGTGAAGGCGCCCCTGAAATCGCTACGGGATCGCGTGATGGCTCCGTGAAGATTTGGGACCCTCGCCAACCGAAAACACCCGTCGTTACTATGGCACCAGCCGAGACTGGAGAAAACACTTCTGGGGATGGACCGAAGGAGAACCCTCGGGATTGTTGGTCAGTTGGATTCGGTCATGCCTACAACGTTCACGATCGGTGCGTTGTAGCTGGTTACGACAACGGTGACATCAAGCTGTTTGATCTTCGTGCCATGCGAGTTCGTTGGGAGAAGAACGTCAAGAACGGCGTCTGTTCCATTGAGTTTGACCGGAAGGATATTGAGATGAACAAGCTAGTTGTGACTACGCTGGAATCAAAGATCCACGTCTTCGATATGCGCACTCAGCACCCTGAACGGGGCTTTGCGTCTCTTACCGAAAAGGCCCACGACTCGACTGTTTGGCAGGTGCGGCACCTGCCACAGCAACGAGACATCTTTATTACAACTGGTGGAAACGGTTCGCTTAACTTGTGGAAGTATCACTATCCTGCTAAACGCCAAAAAATGGTTAGGCTTCCAGCGGCTGGCGAGGGCCAACCAGAGAGGGAGGTAGCTGAGGGTGTAATGGGGAAGCTTTCTTTGCTGCAAAACATTACTTTGGCTTCTCAGCCGATATCTGGTCTAGACTGGTGCAAAGAAAAGATGGGTCTGGCCGTTTGCGTCGGCTTCGATCAGGTTTTGAGACTATTGATTGTAACGAAGCTGAACCGCGTGTAAACCGTTGTTTTTGGCGACCAAAACAAGTGTACATAAAGTTTTCATTAACGGCGTTCCTGTAAATTCATAATGTGTTGATTATTTTAATAAATTAATGTTACCCAGTTTTATCTGCCTCTTGTAATTCTGAGCAACGCTAAGATGGTCAAACCTTTGATTCCGAGAGCAGTTTTTCCTTTTGTTTTGTGTACTTTTGGCTTGAGACCCGCCCTACGAGTGTTCATTATAGTCTCTACTTAGTTAACAGAATAAATTGCCACCCTACTCATTCTAATTAAGGAGTTATTAGTTAGTATTTACGTTTTTGAATGGTAAGATCAACGGATATGTTATATTCTAATTGCAAGCTCTTCGCTTTGACCCTAAATTATAACTTCAGATCGCAAAATCGCCCTATTATGTCTAACTTTTCTAGTTCTCATGGGAATCTCTCCACTCGAAGCCACGTTGTATAAAATTAAACTGGCTACACTGTAAGTGTGTACGGGCGAAATACATATGCAACTTGGTCTCGCTTAATGCTTTCGTAACATGGATGGCCGTTTCTGGTTGAGGCTGCCTCAGCAGCGTAGAAATTCGCCCCCATGTTGGATTCGGGCGCAGAAAGTGGACTGGCAATTTGAGCCTGGACAGTATGTTCTGTCACAGGGGTAATTTTGTGATAATCTCTTGCAGCACCCGGCTTTGAGTGCGGCTGCGATTGGCCCCGCTGGTGGTTCAAGAGCTCTTAAGTCAACGCACGCATGCACTAAGTCAAGTGTGTTTAGTGACAGACGCACAAGAGAACCACTTTGCGTGCTTACGCATCAGGCGACATTTAAATTAGGCGCGCATCCTGTATAAAGGCAATCCCCCCCCTTCATAGTGAGTATCCCGAGTCTTGCGAATGCTTGTACTGGTGGTGATGGTGATCCCTGACTGGCGTTTGGTTAAAGTACAATAAAGTGAATATTTTGACAACACGGCTGGCTGCCGTCGGGAGTCAACGGCACCGCTCGTCAGGCTGTGGTTTATGTTCCTTGCCCCTTTGTGGCGGTACGCGGTGCCAACAACAATAAGAGACCCAGCGGGTTGCGCGGTGCAGATTGCCATTGATGGACACTCATCTTCAAAATCTGGGATTCCAATTCCACCTGTTTTTGCAAATCGCGCTATCGACCATTAATAAGCCCGTTTGTAAATACGTCGCCGGTTCGTGCGGCCACGCACCACTTCATTCGCATGAGTACCTCACCAACCGGATTAGTCTGCTTAAACACCAAAACTAGACAAATGTGTGCAATTCTGATCATTTTGGGAAATTGTGATAGCTTGGTCAACCGAATGAGTGAAAGTTAATGTAGAAGACACATCATAGCAGTTAGAATAGATAAGACAAAAGTAGTAAACGTGGAATGTGGGAAGTGGCTAAGGCGGGTGGTGCTAGGCACGTCTGGTGCCGTAGGCCGCAGAGCCGGACTGCAAGTCCTTCAGCTGCTTGATGAGATCCTCCAATCGCTTTCGCTTTTCGCGTTCCACTTTTTTCATCGATCCAATGAAAGACGACTTTTTCTTCTCAGCTTCACGAATGCACTCAAGAAGTGAGACCGCAGCAGCTGGGGTCACGCGGTCATAGGGGTTACCTAAACACGCATTAAAAAGTGCTTCCTAACTTTCAGAAAAAGGGACTGCAGAGGGTGGCGCGGTTCCCTTGTCAAGCCTTCTGTACCACTCCGTGTGTAGTCGCATGCACCTCGAAACAAACGCCTTACTCCCAAACTTCCCGGTTCATTCAAGTCGATTTGTTAAGCCCGAGGACGACTAAGCCGCCAAAGCAACGATTCGAGGATAATTTTAATTAAACAAATTGTGCTGTCACCCCAAACCACTCTCACAACTGATTGTTAGATGAGGCTTGGTGTGAGAAATAAAGACCTAACAAGAGAAATTCGTTAAATTCTATCCAAGTCCGTGAGGTTGACATGAAATAAATGTCTCAACCGAAAGGCCTGTCAATGAGCAAAACACATCAGCAAAAGTAATGGTAACCACATAAGTGCACTTTAACCCCACTACCACACATCATCGGGTTACCAGTTTCTTTTTTGCTTGTACTTACAGTTGTGGTGTTTTGGCGCCATGCCCCAATTGCTACATTCAACAGCGCTAGCTAGCTACTGACGGTCGTGAGGCCATTGTCTTTCATACTTAACGCACTGGCGGTAGAGTGCTTATTAGGTTACGGCCCATTCAACACTTGCACCTTGTCAAGCTGCGACGTGGCCTAGGGTAAATCGCTTTGCCGACAGCCCTACAGCACCGACAACGGCTTTTCCTTAATTTTTTTTCGCATAGGAAAAGCAATTTACTCACACTGGCATATGCACCTCAAGAATTGTTGCATCCGTGTTGTAATTTAGAATTTAAGGAAGGAATAAACGCAATGGCGCGTCAGTAACTGTCAGCAGTCACTGATACTACCATCAATTTCTCGGTAGCATAAAAAAGATTCGCCGAGTGAAAAGAGTAGAAAGCACATAACGACGTGGGTGGGTGGGTGAATCAAGCACCTACCAGTGGGTTTCCCGTAGTTCGCGAAATAAACCTTCCAGTCATCCTTTCTGACCAGTTCGAGGAGTTGTCTGAGCTCGTGGAAAATTAACAAGAGAATCGACTTGTCGATCCCGGGCACCGGATCAGAGCGGGCGAACTTGTCGCATTCCGCCAAGTCGACGAGGATGTGGGTTAGCGCGGGCTCCGACACCATTTTAACCTGAAAGCGCAGCACCAAGGTCAAAGAGGGAACTGCGAGGCCGTGACCCTCAGTTATAGAACTAAGGATTAAGGACCATAACCCACTAAGGATACAATAATTTTAATAAAAAAAAAGTGACAGCGGCCAATCTACCACACTGTTCCAACCTCAAGCAATGTTAGAAATACGTTTATCAGAGACGTGAAGATGGATCCGAGCGAAAGCCAAGTCTTGCTTAAAAAGGGTTCAAAATCAGTTTTGATTTATCCACAAGATCAACATACACGACCCCAGAAGGGTTTTGAAGAAGGGCATTGAGAAGAACGCAATACCAATAAGGTGTAATAAAGTTGGTGGAGAAACAGGTGCTTACGTCCGGTCCCATGAGGATCCGCTGCAGCAGCTTGACGATGTGCTTGCACACAGAGAAACAGGCGGTGTGAGCGACCTTCGGGGGGAGGTGCGTGAAGGCGGCGAAGGTGCTACCCAGCCACGCCATCATGTCGGTCATGTACTCGCTGGGCTTGATTGCGGTGAGGGCCGGCGGGGTGTCAACGAGGTAGTCGAGGCTTGCGGTCCCCTCGCCCGGGCCCCCGAAGATGCCGTCGTAGGAGGCGAGGCTGCAGAACTCGTCGACGCGCGAGTTGAGATTCGTGTAAATCTGCGTCTCGGTGCGCGCCCGGCAATCTCGGAACAGAGACACGCCGTACAGGTGCGAGCGCGAGGGCTGCACGTCGTCTGGCTGGGCGGCCATCAGCGCGAACACATCCGAGCCCTGTGCAGAGGTTGGAGTTCATTAATTGACATCCTACAGTTTTTAGTGAGACTAGAGGAATTATGGACTGAGACCGAGCTTCTAAATCCATTCAAAAAGGCAAGCACGACAATGTCTTTGCCAAAGTGGCCAGATTCTGCTTGGGGGACGACCTCAGCCATGGAAGAATAGAGGTGAGAGGTCATTTCCCCACTTTTCGACAACAGTTACGTAAACCTGTGATCTCAGACGTTAGTCTTTAGAAAGACTAGACAAACCAACAAGGGCAAACAGGCCAGACCAGGGCATATCAAGGGCGATGGGAACACCGAGAACTCACATCTTCACAATCTCCGTCCTCATCAATATTTACTGACTGACATTTTGCGTTCAAACTCGTGACTAAAGAAGGCGAGGAGAAGAATTTGGGGCGTGCTTTCTCGTGCAGATAAGACTGGAGGTGTTCGCACGCCGACTCCAATTCGGAAAGGTTAATGGTCAATTGGATCAGCCTGAGGAGGTTCGCCTCCGCTGCTTGGATGGTCTTATCGAGGAGGTCTGAGAGGCAATCGGTGAAGAGGACGTTGGTCGCCCGGTTCAGGGCGTCCTCCAGTTCAGTCCACGCGAGGCCCACCGAGGGTGCAACAATGAACTGCGCCGAAGCGTCGATGTAGTCGCGGATGGCAGCGTAGACGCTTGGCACCATGGGAGAGAAGGCGAGAGTGCGGGGGAAGGGCTGGGAGGTGAACTCGGGTGTCTGGCAGTAGGGATAGGAGGCGAGTAATGGACTCATTTCTGAGGCCTTCTCGAGGGTTATTGCGGTGTAGTTGTCCGTTTTAAGAATTTCGTTAAATCTATGGAAAAAAATTGGTAGGTATTTATCAACACCAGAGCAAGACTGACTTAAAAAGACCTATAAAACGACGTCTTTCGAACCACATTTCTAGGCTAATTAACGCTAAGCTTTTAACTCTAAGTTGGCATTAATGAACTTATCCTTCCAAAATATTGGCGAAAAAAACAAGTTTAGAAATTTTCGTGGATTGTAAGAACGCCCGTGTGTGGAGATTTATTTGTATCGAATATGTAACAAAGGGGTTCATATTAAAAAAAAGCCTGGCAAATAGTTTTCGCAACCCAGCTAAAAAAGTTGCAGAACTCAAGAACTCCGGGAGAGGTTCCAGATAGCATGGTATTTTTTGCGGAAGCTCTTGGTGGATGAATGTGTCGGGCTGACTCAAATAATGAACGTTCAACCACTCGCGAAACACAAGTCACACCGAGGAAGCTTAAAGCGTCGTGCCACAGCCAGCTTTATTTACCATAATACCCTCACTGAACCATGCTGCATCGAATCCTACGTGCGAATTTCACACACAGAGACCGAATAAAGCAACGGAGATTATTGGAGATTAAGAGTGCAGATCACAAACTGTGCCAACGCAAGACCACAGAAATGCATACTGGTCGCGCCACCGCGCTATGAGGAGTTGGCTGAACTGCTTCCTAATGGCTTCGAGCATCTCATTGAGGCCGGTGGTGTTGAAACCCAGGTTGGCCATTGTGCGCTCGAAGAGGACGCAGTAGTGCTTGAGACTGAGCAGTTCACTCGTGGTTTTGCAGTCACTGGCGTTGCGAGAGACGAGCTGCGTGAGTCGGGGGACCACGGTGGTCCAGAGGTCTGAGAGGTAGGACTGGTAGTAGGAGGCAGCGCCAGGCATGGTGTGGCGCAGGTAGTCGTCGACCAAGAAGAACCCCACCACGCGACTGAAGAATTCACTGTAGTTGCGAAGACTCGACTAGGAGGAAAGCCAAGGACTAGGCACACCAGACTGGCTACACGAGGACGGCAGATTTACAGTAAAATAGAACCAAAATAACGGACAGTATGGAGGTGGGAAATATGCCAGTTTGTGTCACAGCCACTGCAAAAAACCCCACGATTGGGATCGAACGATTAAAAAAACCCAGGGAGTAGAGAACCGCAAGAATCCCAACTTAGAGTAGCATTCCAACGCATTACTACAGTGACACCCAAGTTCAACATTATTAACAGAAGTGCTTCCAAAAGCGGTAAATAAGTGCCGTGAGTAATACTGACAGTGACAAGCAGTAAGCATGGGGGTAAAACCACAACAGCGACACGTGCTTACTCGACAAGGCGACACGTAAGAAGAGCCTGTTATTTTGCATATTAGGCGGAAGAGGTAGATGCCTGGCTTTTAGAAGGAATGCGAGACAATTTCACTGAATGAAGAATGAGCTTAAGGTAACTTAGCTTCGGCCAATAGCGTTAATGGTCCTGTCTCAATCTACTTATTTTTTTTACAAAACGTCTCAATTGTAGAGAAAACAAAGTAGGGTTTTCGTTTAAAATACTTTACAAGTATGAATACTAAATTGGCAGTGCGGCTGGGTGTAAATTATGTGTCCTGTTGAGGTCAAATATGAATGAAAAATATTACCAGCGCACACGTTAGGGCACAATTGCATTACATTGACAACATACGTTGCAGTGAATAGGAAGCTATGAGGACGGTAGATAGGATTTAGACACACAATAGTAAAATTTTATCGACGAAAGATGTAAATTGTGGTACCTAGATGAAGGTCATGAGTTAAACGTATGGCCCATTACGGTGACACGAAAATTAAGACCATTTTACGAGTAGCAATGACACAACGCTGGTTCAATGACCAAATAAATCGAAAAAGGCTGAATATTGGAATGTATCGTTTGTGTACCTGGGTCAGTGCTTAAATCATTGTAAGTACACAAGACAACACCAAATGCAACTCGAGTTGATGAGGACTCAAATTTAATTGTCATAAAAAGCGCTGTCTGCGTCAATAAGCTGCTCTACAAGTGAATCGAACTGCACAAGCAATTGTGATATTGACCCTTTTTCATCAACGTGAAAATTGTTCAATTTGGTGCTTTCATGTGACTGGAAGGGAGGGGCAGAGAATCGCGGAGGAATTCGCCAAAATTAAGCAATTACTCCTTCTACGTTTGTCGCCTTTAACACTTATAACCAATGCACTTCATCACTCACCTGCTGTGAAGGTGATAGGCTTAGAATAAGCTGGCATTGCTTCCGCCTCTGAGTGAAGTAGTACTGTTCGAATTCGGACCTTTCACCCGAGACACTGTGGATGTGCAGACATCGGTAAATAGGACCAAAGTTTATCAATGCCTCGATGTTGTTCTTTGTGTCGGGCGAGTTACCTCCACCAGATTCATTTTCAAACCTCTTAGCTGCCAGGGCTAATTCTTCCAGTTCGGCTTCCAAGGCATCTAAGAAATGCCGAGTAAACACGTGGAAGAATCTGGTATTTACAAAATTTGGGTTGCTTAAACGGTGATAACCTTAGGTCCTTTTGATGCGAGCCTAATCACGAGATCGAATATATAGATTTATAAGCTAGAATCCTTAACTTATAAACACAAAAATGATACGGAAAGGTACAAGTACACGCATTACGTGCCAGATGTAGTAGTAGTGCATATGTATCTTTCTGGAAGCGATATAATAAGTTGTATCCAAATCTTAAAACTAGTGAGGCAAAGTAGCAAAAGAAACATTAAAGCTTTCTGCACAGCCATACATTGCGAGGAATTGCATTATTTGCAAGTGATCGTAAAGTATAAAAAGAACATTTTAAACACCAGCTTCGTTTATGGTAGAGAGTAGTAACACTTCGTGATGCACGACAGATCTCACTAGATCTCGACCTTGTGGCTGTCCACGTCTAGTTTTGATTATAACTAATCAGAATTACACACATTGGTAGAAGAAATGCATACGCAAAAATCAGGGATGAGAGTGAAAGCAAGTGTATTTACTTTGGCCTTTCTGCCAAATCAGTAAACGAAATTTCGAATACAAGCAAAGTAGAACACTACACAATCACTTATCGGTTGCGTCAAAAATATCGAAAAAAGAGTATTAGTATAATTGAAAACGATTCTGAAAAGGAGGGCAAGAAGGAAACATAAAAATACATTATGCAGAATGTCAGAAGTAGCGGAATATTTAACAGCAGCGAAATCACTTACTTGTGTAACTGGACTCAGGAACAATGTGTTTCCGTCTGATGGGTGGAGGTGGAGGCACAGCAATATCAGGCTCATCGCAATCGGAGGATGTTCTCTCCCTGAAGGTTGTTATTTCGTTCCTCTGCTCGGATGAGCCAGCATCGACAATAGCATCTTCACTCATTCCTGTTTTCTCAGCCGTTTGGCGCATAGCAATTGCACCAAGTCGAGTTGAATGCTTCCGTATCTCCTCCAAAAAATCAGTTAACTGAGCTAAGCTAGCTGCCTAGATAATGTGATTAGAACAAGCGCAGCGATCCACCTTAATCTCAGACCGTAGTTCAGGAATGCGCTTCGAGAGGAGTTGGGAAAAGGAATAGGACTGAATGGACTTTAACTGGTAATGCTCCAAATGTTCAAGGGTTTTCAAGGCATGATAATAGCGACCATCTGCTATGCTCTTTTCAACTTTTTCATACTGATCGAGAACCGGAAGACTAATTCGAAGTGCGGCAATACATTGGTCAATACGATTGAGAGTTGCATGATTGGTCGCTAGAGCTTCACTGGAGTCATTCAACTGAAATTGCAATTTCGACAAGCATTATTTAGCCTACCCTTTGAACGCTTGTTTCGATATTTGATCGAATTTCTCGAAGGTTCCGCTGCAGCTGTTCAGCTTTTTCCTGCACAAGCACCAATTCCTGCACAGATTCGACAAAGCTTTCATAATTGTGACTGCATGTTTTCTCGATATCTAATTCCCGGTCAGCAACTCTTTCGTCGAGTCGAGCGATAAAACTGGCGATAAGTTCACCCGTGGGACCTCCTTGACCGGCTTCGTATGCAGCCACTTCGTATTCACGTAGTTTACGAATAACATTTGCACAAGAACCACTACTTCCAGATTCCAGTTCATCCAAAAGGGGAGAGAAATCAATGGACTCAATTGCGAAATCCGCCATTCACTAGCAGAAAAACCGTTCGCTAAAATACTTAGAAGTATTCAAACTTTAATGTACAGCCTAGTAAGGGCTAGAAACAAGCATTGACAGATCAGCAGGACCAAATTGCAGCATCAGCAACTATTTTACCTAGAAAATGTGAGGCATATATAATATCAACCTCCTGTGTACAGCATAAGAACTTTGGAGAATCACAGGTTGAGAGTCTAAGAGGACTTGGATCTTGGAGAAATACCCCACTTGACAATGTCAAATGTCTAAACTGTGGTGTGGTGTGGTGTGGCGTCGGATTAGGGCGCAGACATATTGGACCACCTGGCCGCAGCCAATCCTGTGTCTCTCT